TGCTGCTTGGCCTGCTGTGTTCATCCAGCCCTGCACCTTGTTGTCTCCGAGTCCCAAATGATATAGCTGCCAGACTGTGTGTTCTGTGGTAGGTGGTGAGGGAGCCAATTAGAGAGAAAAATTTGACTACCCTCTCCCTTGCAATCTACTTTGAGCAACTTCATCTGTACATGACTGTGGGCTGGCCATTCCTACTGATACTGTTGTTGTGGAGACAAAGTCCCACCTTCATCGTGAAGACAGCTCCAAACGGGGCACCAAGAAGGCACTGTAGGCCATTAGGAGCAGCAGAATTATATTCAATCAAACCTGCTTCCATGTGTTACAGTTCAGTATTGCCACCAAACCAGGAAACCAACCCTGATTCAATGAATTGTGTTGGAGGGCACACCAGAAACAGCACCAGGCCTACCTAAATAAAACATTGTCAGTGTTGTGCTGAAGCTACAATGCAGGACTTCTTGCCCGACAAACAGCAAGCAATATCTCAATCACGATATCTCAACCACCGCGTCAGATCTAAGCCCTGCAGTCCTGCCACATCCAGTCATGGGTAGTACTGGACAATTAACCATCTAACAGCAGGCCTGAGCTTGACAAATATCCCCAACTTCAGTTATTGGAGAGTCCAACACATCTGTGCAAAAAGACAACACTGAAGTACTTCAACCAACTTCAGCCAGAAGTGACAAGTGTGCAATCCATCTTCGTCCCCTCAACAGACGCCAGCCTTCAGATAATTTGACTCAATCCACATGTCAAGAAGCACCTGAAGGCACTGTGGGCACTGAGAGCATTCTGACAATAATATTGAAGACTTGTGGTCTGAAACTTGCTGTGCCTCTAGCCAAGCTGTTCCAGAACAGATACAACGCTGACATCTACCCAACAATGTGGGAAAAATGCCCAGTTGTATCATGTCCATAAAAAGTAGAACAAATTCAACCTGGCCAATTACCACTCAATCAGTTTATTCTGAATTATTAGTAGAGTGATAGAAGGGGTAATCATTAGTGCTAATGAGCAGCAGTTGCGTAACAATAATCTTCTGATTAACGATAAGCTTCATACTCAACAAAAACATTCAGGCTTGGGTTAAAAAGTAGCAAGTAATATTCATACCTAGCCGATAACTTTGAGCATGCTTATGAATGTGAACTTATTTATATTGAATCGAGATGCTAATGGCATTTTCTTTTGTTTTCAGTTCTGGAAGCAGCCAGCAGGTATTTTTATTCACCAATGGGATCGTAAGTCAAACTTACCAATCATCACCATGTCCACAGCCAGTTTTAAAGTTCTTATTTAAGGTGAGGATACACATTATTACTGGTTGCAGATGTCTGGTCTGTTATCACAGTTTTTAGCTGTACCAGTTCTGACTAGAACTGCTTTGCTGTTTTGTAATACTGCTAGTTTTCACAGTTTTTAAACTTCCTTATTTTATTTTTAAACCGTTGCTTCGAAGGACAGTTGTCTGGGCGTCTGGTTTTTGATGCAGAGTGATACCAACAGCATGGGTTCAACTCCTGCACAGTCTGAGGTTGCCATGAAGGACTCAACCTTTCCCCTTGTCCGAGGCATGGTGACCCTCAGGTTAAATACCCACCAGCCGTCTCTTCTGTGAGCAGCAGTATGGTCCTGTGGGATGATGGCAACTTTACCTTTACTTGAATGATCATGTGAATCCTCCTCTCAGTCCAAGTCGCCCTTGACACTGGATTAGCTTTCGTCACCTTTTTGAATGTCACCTGTTTGCTTGCAGACAGTGTTGTCAATCCATATCACGGATGATTACATTAATGACATGGCTTTGATAGAAACCCTGGCCGACCTGTGATGACGCCTTACCTTTAACTGGAGCCTCCCTTCCATGGCAGTACCTTTCACTATCTTGCCCGACCATTACAGTTGTAGTGTGGCTTCTGCAACCAAACCTCAGTTTGTCTTGTCCTGTCATCTCACCTTACTCTGCCCCTCTGACCTGACATTCTCGATCTTTACCCCAACACGGATTTTGTCAGTTTACTCAATGAGGTATCTTCACTGCTTTCTTCAGGCTCTGCTTACTGTGGCTTCTCATTATTTGTTATTTTACCTTCATCTCAATTCGTCATAGTCTGTTTCCTGCCCTTTTATCCTCCTTTATTCTCCATATAAATACCCCAAATTCCTATTTATGGACACCTTTGCCCTTGCTGTTCCATGTTATGTTATCCAATGGTATAAATCAGAAAGATGTATCATGCAGCAATTCACCAAGGCTCCTTGGACCACGGTTTCCAATCTGTGACCTCTACTACCTAGAGGTGCGATATCACTGATGCATAGTGCACCACTTATTGCAAGTTGTCCGCTGAGCCACTTGTCATCCCTACTGTGTTATATATCCCCATTCCTTCAGTGTCACTGAGTTAAAATCCTGGACCTTTCTCCCCAACCACATTGTGGGTGTGCCTATACCAAATGGACCGCAATGGTTCATGAAGGCAGCTCACCACCACCTTCTCAAGGGCATCTTGGGAGGGCAGTAAATGCTAGCCCAGTCAACAACACGCATTCATGAATAAATAAAAAGGAAAATGTTGGCTGTGCTTTCTGCTCCTTCTGACGATCCTCTGACAATTCTCTGCCTCTCTACCTCACTTTCCTCCTTTAAGATATTCCTGAAAGAGTATCTCTTTGACCAAATTTTTGATCATTATTGTCAAATCTCTTCCTCAGACTTGGTGTCATAATGGTTATTTTTACTCCTGGAAAATGCTTTTGGGACCATTTATTAGACTTGAGGTACTAGGTAAATATAAGTTTTTTTTTTTTTTTTTTTTTTTTTTTGTCAGGATCTGCTCCAATTTGGGATAACATGTATGCAGCAGTGTTTTAGATAGTTGGTGTGTTTATAGAAGTGGAAGGACAAGAAGAATAATAGAGGTAGGGTAAAGGTCCTTACAATGGGCAAGATTGAAATTTGTTCACTTTTTTTTAACATGATAGACTTTTTAAATTTGCTCATGAGATGAGGGTGTTGTTGGCAAGGTCACCATTTATTGTCCATCCATAATTGTTCAGAGTCAAAACACTGTGAGTCTGGAGTTGCAGATTAGGTAAGGATGGCAGATTTCCACCCTAAAAGACAGTTGTAAACCAAGTGATTGTATGGTTGCCATTAAGTCAGCTTTTTATGGAATTCAAATTTTACAGTCTGCTATAGTGGGATTCCAACATGTGCGCCCAGAACATTAGTCTGAGATTCTAGCTTACTTGTCAGTGACAGTACCACTTTGTCGCTGCCTTCTCTTGTTGTGGTGCAGTCTGCTAATGTATTTTCTATAGTTGAAGAGAAGAAACTTGCTTTTGTCTAGTGCTTTACACATGCAGTTGCAAGTACACAAGTGTATTTATGTCGACTCCTGTTCCACCAATGCCTTACTTTTAATATTTTTATCATCTGGACCTCAGTGCTGCCAGTCTCACAAAGGTGCTTTAGCCTTAGCACTCCCAGTTTCTCTGTTCTTGTCTGGTGGGCTTTCTGTGCATGCTCCTGTCCCTTTAGCTAAAACTTCAACCTTCAGCCCAAACTTTTAGTTTCTCAACTGCACCCCTCTCTCAACCTCCCACTCCTCCTTTAGAATCCTCCTTAAAACTGACTTCTGACTAAGCTTTGGGTTACCTATCCTGATCTCAGTTTTTAACTCACCATTGACTTTTGTCTGAGCTCTTGATCACGTAAGTTGTTCAGCTACTTCAATTATTCGATTAAAAAGCACCAGATGGAGTGTAAATTGATATTGGAGTAATTAATTTACTTACCACAACAATTCCCTTGAGCCGACATATGCTTTGGCAATGGCGGTATAGTTCTGCCTTGTAAATAACAGGTGAAATCTCCTTTGTTTTGCAGATGATGTCTATTCATTCAGACTACATTGCTTCAATGCACATTTTCAAAACACTTTGGGACATCTGCACTAGTGCTGCTAATAGAGTAGGTTAGTATGCAACAACCTTTTGGAAAATTCAACTTCATAAACTTCACCAGTTTTTATGCTTTCAGTCAAAGACGAAACACAGGCACTGGTATCTTTGTGGGGTGGGTCAGAGTCGCAGGGTAAGTACTGCAGATTTCAGTGAAACCAAGCTCTGATTTTTTATGATACTGATCTACACCTTTTTTGTATCGTTTCTCTATTTATGTTTGGGCTGTACAATTGATCTTGAAACCAAACAGAATAAATGTGCATTATTTTTGCTCCTACTTTGAATTTAAAAGAAGATAAGGTGAGCATTAGAAACAACAAAACAAAGAAATGGAATTTATCTGCATGTCTCTGATGAAGAGCTGGCACTGACACTAAGAACTGTCTTGCTGCCTCCTGTCCTGTCCTGTCATCCTCCACAGTTGTTTTTAGTACATGTTCCCACAGAGGCGACTTGTATTAACGTGAGTTATTTGTCTAACCAGAAATTGCCATGAGACACTGGATAATTTCCATTCCTTCCCATTCTTCACCTCAGGACTTTAATTATACCAGGCAAAAATAAGCTGCATCAGAGAGTGATCAGGAGGGTTGTCACTTCAGCTGGTTTCAAAACGCACTTTTTACATCATCGTAAACTGATCTTTGTTTCGCAACTAATTGAAATAATTAATTCTGATTTGGGTTTCCTTTGGGCTGTGTTCTTTCCCAAAGAAAATTAAGTTTCTATAGAACAAAAGGTTACTTGAGAGCATGAAAAAATCCACTATCTAACAACAGTGATATTTTACCAAGGTTCTGGGGAAGCTGAAAGGTCTTAAGGTGGACAAGTCCACAACAAACGGATTACATGCTGGAGTTCTGAAGGAAATAGCTGAGGAGCTTGTGGAGGCATTGGTGGTGATCTTTCGAGAAAATTTCTAATGTAACACCCCTGTTTAAGAAGGGAGGGAGGCAGATATAGGCCAGTTAGCCCAACCTCGGTTGTTAAGATTTGGAAGTGTGTGGTAAAATGGGCTGAGTCGTCATGGCTTTGTCAAGGGGAGGTCATGCCTGACAATTCTGTTAGAATTCTTTGAGGAGGTAACGAGCAAGTTAGACAAAGGAGAGCCAAAGCGCATGATCTGTTTGGATTTCCGAAGGCCTTTGACAAGGTGCAGTCCAGCAGACTGCTTAATAAGAGACCATGGTGTTAGGGACAAGGTACTGGTGCAGATAGAGGATTGACTGACTGACAGAAGGCAGAGAGTAGGGATAAAGGGGACTTTTTCAGGATGGCAGCTGGTGACCAGTGGAGCTCCGCAGGGTTCTGTGTTGGGATCACAACTATTTATGTTAAATGTTAACAATCTGGACGAAGGAACTCGGGCGTTGTTGCCTGCAGTCCTTGTAACACAAAGATAGGTGGAGGGGTAGGTAGTGTTGAACATGGGGAAGCTGCAGAAAGACCTGGACAGGCTCAGAGAGTGGGAAAAGAAGTGGTGGATAGAATACAATGTGGTAAAGTGTGAGGTTATGTACTTTGGTCAGAAGAATGGGAAGCATAGACTATTTTCTCAATACGGAAAGGCTTTGGAAATCCGAAACACAAAGGGACTTGGGAATTCTAGTTCAGGATTCTCTTAAGGTTAACATGCTGGTTCATTTGGCTGTTAGGAAGGAAAATGCAATTTTAGCATTCATTTCAAGAGGGCTAGAATACAACAGCAGGGATGTACTGCTGAGGCTATATAAGGTTCTGGTCAGACTGCATTTGGAATGTTGTGAGCAGTTTTGGGCCCTGTATCTATGAAAGGATATGCTGGTCTTGGCTGGGGTGCAGATCCAGGATGAAGAGCTTTTAAATAAGGAGCGGTTAAGGACTCTGGGACTGTACTCAGTGGATTTTAGAAGGATGGGGGTGGGGTGATCTGATTGAAATTTATAGAATACTAAGAGGCCTGGATAGTGTGGACATAGAGAAGATGTTTCTAGGAATAGGAGAGAGAGTAGGACCCAAGGGCCCAGTCTGCAAGTGAATGGGCGGTTAGTCTGTGAAACTCATTGCCGTGGAAGGCTGTCGAGGCCAAGTTTAACAGCTAGTAGGTTCTTGATTGGTAAGGGGATCAAGGGGATCAAGGGCTACAGAGAGAAGTCGGGAGAATGGGTTTGAGAAACATATCAGCCATGATCGAAAGGTGCAGCAGACTCAATAGGCCGAACAGCCTAACTGTGTTCCTCTATCTTGTGGTCTTATACTTGGTATGATTGCTAGGTGTTTTATTTTTGCCTAGTAGATCCATACGGAAAATTTAATGAAACCAACTGACAAAGACTTCGCTCAAGCAGAGGAGTCAAGAATAAGAGGTCATGAGAATTGAAATTTTATCCGGGAAGGATGAATTATACTTTCCCATAGGTTGCCAGTAAATCATCAGTAATTGAGGGTTTTAAGTTACGGAGCATGACGGAGTTGCCATGGCTAAGTTTATGGTAAAGTAGCCTCAATTTGCCAAGGATCTTCGTTCCTAACTGCTGAAGCCTGTGTCACCATCCCAGTAGTTTTGTAAAAGCTGTTGAAGGTTCTAATTCTGGAAGTCTGCGGACCGTATCTCTCCCTAGTAATGTTTGAAACTTGCGAAAGCTTCTACTCTGTTTTCTTCCTTGGAGTCAGAGCCTCTTTTTTATTACTTTGACCTTCTCATCAGGATGTGATCCATTGTTGTCAACTCTGTACCCGAGGTATGTTACCTTGTTTGCCTGGAACACACTGTTCCATTTTAGCCAGCTGCCAGCCTTAACAAAAATGCTGTAAGACCTCCTGCAATCTGTCCACATGTTCCTATGCAATAGCTCCTGAGATTAAAACCTCATCCTGATAGAGTGACATTCCTTGGAGGATGTTTTCCATTACCCTTTGAAAGATGACACCAGCCAAAGATGTTCCAAGGGCAAGCGAGTGTACTTGTACAGTCCTTTGAGTATTTATACTAATTTTCTTCCTGAATGACACCTCAAGGTCCAGTTGGAGGTAGATGTGGCTCATATTCCATTTTGAAAATGTGAACCCCAAACTGGTTTTCATACCCTATGCCACACATTGAAGACTTGTATCTAAGTGGGAAACTCTGACTGTCAACTCATAATCCCCACAGACACAGACCAAGTTGTTCAGGTTTTACAACTGGGAGTATTGGTGCAGCATATTCAGCAAATTGCATATGATTCCCATTTTCTCTAAATGTTCCAATGTAGCCTCTACTTTGGCGCAAGTGGAACCAGTCATTCCCTGAAGTGTTTAGATCGGGCCTTTGAGTCTACATAAGTCTTGATCCTGGTGCCTTCTATCTTGCCGAATCCTGCTTGAAACACTTCTGGATATTTGCCAATGACTTCATATGATTGCCAGCACCTGTTTTAAAAATCTGCTGCCAATCCAGGCAGAGATATTCTGTAACCGATCCCTTCCCAAAAAGTTGGGACCTCGCTCTTGCATCGCCAATAAGGGGAGTCAGACTGTCTCCTGCTGCTATGCAAACAGGGTTACAGTATCCCAATAATATGTAAGGGCTCCCCAGTACATGTGACCAATCTAGTGCAGCATGAATGTTTTTGCTCCTCACTGTATTGTGGAGAAACTTCCCGTCCATTTCTGGAACTTTGTGGCCTCCGACTTCCATTGATCTTTCTTGGCAACCAGTGGAAGGTGTGTGTATAATCCGCTGGGGACAGGACCATCTGTGGGCCCCTGAAGCTTCCAAGCCCTGTCTTCGGCGTTTTTGTGGGAAAGGGCCAGTCCTGTGGCTTTCTTGAGGTCCAGATCTGGTTTGGTCAGTAGCTTCCTTTGGGCCACAGTATTATTAATTTCACAAACTTAGCAAACCGTTAACATGTCCTGAAGCGCTGACCCATAATCAATGTTGCGCCAATTTCCGCAGTCTTGTCAAAAATTCAGTACCTGGTTCCCCAGGTAGTCTATTTGCCATCTTAAACCTGTAACACTGCAAGGTAAGGGATGGTTTTAAGTCATAATGGTCTGCCACCATCTCTATCAGTCATCAAAAGATTTTGACTTGGGTTGTTGGGTATATTAAACTCTCTGATGCCGAAAGTTGGGGCCCCACAAGTGGTTAGAAGGGTGACTTTTTGTCAACAATCCCCTTCTGTTAGGACCAATCCTTCACACCTGCATCATAAGGTTCTAGTTTCCTAAACAGTGGCATTTTTGATAATTCCCTGTCACATTCTTACCATGTTCGTTGAAAGGCAAGGGTTCTAAAATTCTTATTTACTCCTGTCGCCAATGTAATAACTCAGGAAGCCCGACTGGAAAAGAGCATTTTTTGTTATTCAGCACCAAACTAGGGCGACTACTCATCACATACATAGGCTCGTCCTAGCCTGAGACAGACAGTTCTGCAGCTGCTTTAGATTTTTCTATTATTATTTGGGTCTGCTTTATTTTCTAATCCACCTGTCCTGTTCCTGTGTAACTGGAACCCAGGCCGTTGGCTCAGAGGTAGGGATGCTATGACAGAAGACCCTCCTGGTTCTGAGGTGGATATTTTCTAATTCACCTGTTCAGTGATGTTATTACACACCTCTGGAGCAGGTGGGACTTGAATCCAGGCCTCCCAGTCCAGGGGTAGGGACGCTACCACTATGCCACAAGAAGTCAAGTGATGAGTTCCAGCTGGCCAAGCCGTTGCGTGTTACCAAGAGAATTCATACTCAACGAGCTCCTCAAAGAGATTTGTCATTCCCCATGGGCCTTGTAAGGGTTATCACTACTAATTCATATAAGACCATAATACATAGGAGCAGAGCAAGGCCATTTGGCCCATTGAGTCTACTCCACCATTGGATCATGGCTGATATTTCTCCACCCCATTCTCCTGCCTTCTATCCGTAATCCTTGATCCCCTTTCTAATCAAAAATCTTATCTATCTCTGACTTAAAGAAACTCAAAGCTTGGTCTCCACAGCCTTCTCTGGTGGTGAGTTCCACACTTAACCACCCTCTGACCGAAGGAATTCCTTCTCACCTCAATTCTAAAGGGTCGTTCCCTTCATTCTGACACTGAGCCCTCGGTTCGTAGTCTCTCCTACGGAAATCTCAATGTCCACTGTGTACAGGCCTGCCACTATTCTGTAAGTTTCAATTAGATCCCCCTCATCCTTCTAAACTCCGAGTACAGACCCAGAGCTGTCAACCACTCCTGTGACAAGTCCTTCATCCTAGGATCATTCCTGTAAACATCTTGTGAACTCCTTGAATGACTGCACGTCCTTCCTTAAATATGAGGCCCAAAACTGCTGTCAATATTTCAAATGTACATTTATAATTGCTCAGCATGGCTCGATCTGTGTCTGAAAAACTGTCTTGCTTGCTCTATAATTACTTGAACCACATACCCAAACATTTTTAGTAGAACTTCAATCTTGGGCTTGTTTCTGTAGCTTGAAAGATGACACATGCCATCTGTAAGGGCTGCCCATGTTTGAAAGACACAAAATGGCCAACAAAAGTTAAATAGAATTAAACTGCCTGCTCTAGCATTTGATTGAAACATAATGGTACCTTTGAACAGGGCTACTCCAAGGTGAACAGGAGTCTCTACACAAACAACCATCCAAGCCAGTTTGATAAGAGCATGAGGAGTTCATTAAATTACGACAAGTGATTGATTCCAACCTCATTAACGAAAGGATGTTGTCCCGTTAGGTGAACAGCACCAGTTAGAGCAAGGGGTGTAAATACCAGTCCATGAGGTGGTCTAACTCATTAAGCAGCAATGAAAACAGCAGCTAAAGTTGTTTTGTAGTGATCAGTTGTTTCTTTGAAATTCACAATATTAAGAAATAGGTTCTTCAGATAATCATAGATTTCAACATAATTATAGATACACATATAACCAAAGTATAATAGAAGCATTTTGGGAAAAACATTTAAACGTAGATGTGAAAGTTAATTAGTCTCAGGAAATGCTTTCCTATCCCTAAAAAGATGCCTGGCACGTATTGAACAAAATAGATTGTTTGCAACTTAGTTAAAAAGTACAACTAACTTTATAATGAGAAATTAATACTATGAATCTTTTGAACTTTTTAAATATATAAAATTGGGGCAGTGGAAAATATAAAAGGAATAACAGAATGTGATAGAGATAGTACATGGAATACAATGAGTAACAGAATTCAAGCAGTCCTTAGAGGTAAGCAAGTCTGGGACACACCTGAAGTAACCTTGCATTCTATTAACTTGAATTCCATAGAAAGATCCCAAATCTTGGAGATTACAATGTCTGTTAACCATGAGATCATGGGAACATGGGGCTGTCCTTAGGAATGCCCATCATTGATTAGGTATTTCACTGGTTCAGGTGTAGGGAATAAGAGGGAAGGTCACAGTGATCACACTGTATGTGATTATTGTAACAGAAGATATATAAAAATGCTGTATTTCACAGTAAAAATCGGAGTGTGTCATTGTTCTCTCTTCTGATCTGGGCCACAGATTAAGAGAACGACTGGGTTTCATGTCAAGGCCAGATTTGGGGAAGATCTTTGGCCCCACCCTGCATTAACCGGTTGTTGCTTGAATAAAGTCTGCTGCTTGCCTGAATCCTGCCTGCCTCCTGAGTCTTTGACCCTGGTCAGGCAGTACGCTCCTGCACATTCTAACAGTATCTTTCTAATTTGTTAGTGAAGGGTGACAGAAGTAAATTCAAGGTTTGGACTCCAAGTCTCAAAGACACAGTTGCAGTCTTTCTCAACTTAGGAGCACAGTTTGGCACTTTGTTTCCACTGAAGCACCTTCAACCAGACTTCACTGAAGAGGATATATTGTAAGTTAACATTCTATTCATATGTGAGTGATTTGTTTATTTTAAAAGACTTTGTTTTACTTTATAAACCTCATCTCTTCAATTCTGTTCTGTTTCCTCCATCTTTCCTCCATCTTTTTCAGATATGGATGTTTGAAATAACAGATGGTCATTGGCTATCATGAGCTGGCATAGGACACGAGTTAAGGCCTGGGGCAGATCTATATAATCCTATAGAATAACAAAGCAGCCTTGAGAGGTTGAATGGCCCACCCTTACTTATATTTCTGTTCTTGTGTAACCTTTATAGCAATCCACTTGGGCCATTTGTTGCAGAAAACCATAGGAAAGTAAAAGTTTTATATGGTGTTAAATTTTAATTGTGTAAATGTTATCGGACCATTGATTTAAAATTGTAGAATTTTACTGATTCTAGGTCTGGTCTGCAAAATAATAAGGAAAATTATCCAGAGGATAGTGCGCCAGCCTCCCAGAGAGATCCCATCTTCAGTTTTCTGCCAGAATTTGGCATAAAGAATGTTATTAAGGTATACCTGCCTCATAATTCATGTTCATTATACTAACGGTAAATGTCTGTTCTCATTAAGAGTTGCTGTGATTCATTCACTGGCACTCATTAGATTCATTTCCTGTTGCATTGCAGTAACATCAGTCTGTGCTAATATTTTCCCACAAGATTTTTTTTAAAGAAAATATTCCTTAATAGAGGATGACTGTCTAGTTTTCTCCCTTCCCCTAGGGAGAAGGGATCTGAAGTGACTGTGTAGTTTTGAGACTTTAAACAAAGGCAGGTTGAACTTGTATTGAAGTATTTGAATAAAGAATTTCGGAAAACAAACAAAAAACTGTTGTGGATGTATCTTCAAGTTAGTTTCTGTACAATCATAAACTGGTTTGAGGTGAAACCAGGATCTTGAGGGCAGGATCACAAGTTAGGGATCTGTTGTTCGTTGTTTGATCATGGATAATTTGCTTAAAGAGAATGTTAATTTGGAAGCTAAAGTCAAGAAGTTGTCTTCTGGCAGTTTAACATCTGTCATGCTTCATTGAGTTTGCTGTTCTCTCAAATGGTGTGTATGCTTTTTTTTAATTCCATTAGTTTCTACAGTTTTGTACTTCGATTTGCCCTGAAGCATATTCTGATCAAGAATTAGTATTGCTGATAAGCTTACTGGGCAGAATCAGCCTTGAACGAGAGCTTCAGCTGACTCCTTTAAAAGATTTTCAGTGTTTACTGGACAGACTCCTGAACAACATAAGGCAGTGGAACACAAAGGTAAGAAGTGTTTTAACTGATGTGCTTTAATAGTATGCATGAAGGTAAGTAATGTTGTTAATGCAAGAATGATCGAGTAAAGAAATATTGTTACTGGGTTGCATCATGTTCATATACTCCAAGGAATTAATTCTGCCTGAGAATAAATTATTTCTTAGTGATAACTTTAGGAAAACATCCCTCATATTCTCATGTGATTCTTTTTTGTACTGTTCAGTGGTGCAATGGTGGTGTCATATCACTTCCTAGTTGGTGTTAATTGTTCGCAATCTGAATTCGGTTTAATTTGGAACTGGATTATTGATGCTTGGCATGATTTTGTGCAGGTTTCTTCCAGCTCTCTCAGGGAGAAAAGCAGCCTTCAGTTTAACCTGAAAAGTTGGGACTTTTATCTTATTACTTTTCAGATGTTTGTTTCTGTCACAAGCCTGTGAATGCATGTGTTTGTTACCTGTTCCTTCCGTGCATATTGTCTTCCTTAATTTTGTTTATTAGTGCATTAAAAAAAATTCTGCCTTGCGCAAGACCAGATTAATTGGGTATCCATTGACTGAAATTTACCCTGTATCGCTGGGGAGCAAGTTAGAAAGTATGGTAAAAACCGATGCTGTAAATCAGAAATGAAAACAGAAATTGTTCGAAAAGCTCAGCAGGTCTGGAGCATTTGTGGAGAGAAATCAGAGTTACCATTTCGGGTCCGGTGACACTTCCTCAATGGAAGAGTTAGAAAGTGTGATGATGCTTATTTGAGTAAACTTACAGCCATTAAATTCCCAGTATTACATTGATTATGGAAGTTATGACTACATGCTATGTTTACATATAAATATAGACAAGGTTTTAATGTGTAGCTGTTTGAAAACTGAAACATTGTTCATTTTATACTTTTTAGTGTTAGAGGGACAGGGCAGAAACTCTGGTAAGGAACAAACTTACAGGGTGAGCACTTAACACCTAACTTCGTAAAACTGTTCTTAGCATCAAAGATTTCTGTAGTATCATCGCTAGAGAAGATTTTTCAGTGGATGCGCATTTCTGGACTTGTCTGTTCTGAATAATATGGCTCTAGTGGTGAATATTACTTGAAATGTTTGAAATGGGATTAGAGCAGATCAGTTAAGGCTATGCTGAACCTCAGTTATATTTTGTGTATTACGCTGGGTTTTTTAAACTGTCTGAAAGTTTTACAACGTTGCCCCATGATGTAAATGAGATGACAGTCCCTAGGATATTGTTCTCATTGGGTCATTGGTGAGTTACCATTAAATTTTTATGTAAAAAGAAAAAAAACTTGATACCAACATTGCTTACTTAACTATACACTGCTTCCAGGTAATTAAATATTAATTGTAATGCTAAAATCTTTTGTCTGTGTGACAGCCATTTGATCCTTTTGTACAATTGATCATTAGTCTGTTGTTGTCATAATCAAAACCCTGTGACTATACAATATCATCCCTGTAAAATGTATTTCATCAACTGTACAGCATGTATGCCAGGAAGTGTCTAGAAGCAGGAAACCTCAAGGAGATGTAAAGATAAACTAACACCTCAAAGCTGCTGTTTCGCAGTTAACTGCCTGGAAAGCATTTAATGTATACAGGTAATCTCTAAGTAGTCCATTATAGATTTGCTGTAAATATTTTTAATATTTTGTGGCCCAAGTTATATTGGAATAACTTGAGTTATTTAATATGTGGAAGGATTCTCTTCTCCTCCTCTCCCTTCATCATAAGCATACATATCACTTTTTCCCAGCTGCAGTTAGTTCTCAAGAAGAGTCACTGGACTCAATGTTAATTCTATTTTATCTCCATAGATACTGCCAGACTTGCCAAGTTTCTCCAGAAACTTCTTTTTATTTGTGTTAGGAATAGTTTTCTGTTTTGGGTTATGTTTGAGAGAGCTAGAGAGCTAGAGATTTGATGTAAATCAAAATGACTCATGTTTTTAAGTTGAGTGCGTTTGCATGTGGTTTTGACAAGCTGTCTTGTTTTTGAACAGATGAGCGAGCTCTGCATGATTCTAAGTGACTTATCAGAGCATCATCATAATCTTTTGTACCTGGTTCAACAGCTGCCAGATTTCTCTACACGAGGAAGGTAATGTATGGTGCAGCTTGAGGATAATTGCAAATGGTAGTGTTTCTTAATGACAACTAGAGTCTGTCGCCTCCTCAACACATCAGCTCCTAGGAGAAAGCAAGAAGGGAACCATTCAGATCCAAGAACCACGTCTGTTGTATGTTCCAGATGTTCCAAAAACTTTTATCTTGCACTCATCAGGACAATTGCAAGAATGCCAAATTTCAAACATTTGCAATAAATTACATGACAGAAGAAAAGGGTGTTCTTTCTTTAACAAAAAGTCAAGAATGAAAGGCTCCCTGAGCGCTCGGATGTAGTGTGTGTTATGATTAGTTGAACTCTGTTTATCCTGATGAGTGTAAGTAAAAAATCTTTGGCAACGTATCTCTCAAGTATTCAAGTTTTGTACTGCCATGTCAGTTGTGTTATTCTGACTGCTGCTTACTTTTAGAGCAGCCAAACTTCCTGACTTTGTGGCGTACAGATGCCACAACAGATAGGAATGGAAATGGGCTGTTTAACTCCTTGACCCTATCCAGTTACTACTTAATATGATTCTGTCTTTATGTATTTTATTTTCTTCAACCACCTTTGTTCCATATCTTCAAGATCTCTCAACTCCGTGCAGGAGGCCCGCGATTTCAATGTGGTCCCGTATGGAGGTTCAGTCTTTTAGACCCGATGTAGAAAGATTTCCTATACTTACGAACAGCTGCTTGACATTGTCCTGCGTTGTGCTCCAACTTGGGTACAAGTTGACTTCTGAAAGCAGTCTAGAGCAGAAACCTTTCACAACCATGACACTGTCTGTGTTTCAAGAACTTCAATACTTTCTGCACTTGTAGGCTTCTGACAAATTGTAGCAAAATGCATAATGATGACGTGCTTCCAGATTTCTGGGTTACTTCCTCCTCAGGCCAACATGATCAATGAAGGGGCATCAGAAATGAACGTCATCTTAATAATTGACTTCCTGCAGCTCAGAGCCATGGGCAAATTCTCCTAGTGCTGTTTTTTGGTACCTGAATGGACTTTTCATAAATATCAGAACAGTTTTATCTTGATGGTGATGTACAATGTGCAGGCATGTTTTCCTTAGTCTAGAATGTAGTTTTGGTTGGATTTCTAAATGGGAATGGTTAAAATGCAAGTTCTTCTCCAAGACTATCTTTAACCTGCCTTTGAAATTAAGTCTGGGAATTTGAACGTTAAGTCTAATTTATATTCATTACTGTAAACTGCATCTCAATGTAGGTTTTGAAACTTAAAACTATGGCAAAGGGTCTAAGATGGTGTATACAACAAGTGTTACTTTGCATCAAATGTCAATTTTGCTACCAACACTGAGATTCTTACTTGTTTTCATTTGTCTCACTAAGTGCTCATCTATTTTTCTTTTCTCTCTCGACCTGCCAAACATTTTTCTAAATTTGCATTTTCAAACTGTTTAAAGGAAGGGAACCTGTATAATTCAGTCATCAGCTAGTGATATCACGCTGGTTATAGGCAACATGGCTGATATCTGTGCATGTTTGTGTCTTCAAGTTTGTTCCTCGGATAAAGGTAGCACTAGCAGGACATACGTTTATTGACCTAATCGCTCCTGAGGAAATAGCGGTGTGATGCAGCCTTAAATTATTGAATCAGTTGCTGCAGCCCACATCACTTATACAAGGGTGCTTATGTGTAATGCTGTTACAACTGCTTATGTTGGCTTCCAACAGTTCACACTTATACCTGTGCACTGAAAAATAGCAGAATTAGGTGAAAAAGGGTAAGCATAACTGTATTGGGTTACAATGCTTAATTTTAGCAACCTGTAGTAATGGGCTAATTGTATTTTTCTAGGCAACTAAGGCGGCACCTGAGCATGGTGATAATTTCAAAACTACTTGACAAGAATTGCCTCTATGTACCAAAGGATCCAGATTTGAAGGTATGAGACACAATTTCATTTTGTCAATAGTAAGTAGATGTAGATAAGAAAGCAGCATGTGCCTCGTAATTGTGTGAATTTAACCAAATTGTTGTTTGATATATTTTTTGAGTGTTGAAAAGGATCATAAAATAAGAAATATTTAACTGAAGAAGACTAGACAGCAGAAGGAAATGATTGTAAAGAAAGATATCTAATGCTTGAAATGAGTTAAGTTTGGAATAACAAGAGAACATGTAGTGAAGATCGAGAAGCAGTGAGCATGAAAGCAAGAAAGAAAAGAACAGTAGCTTGCAAGAACGAATTCTTGTGGAGTTGATGTATGAAGTACAGTGAAATTGCAAGATGACATTCTAAGCGAATTCCAGGCTGATCAAGTGACAAGATGATCCTGGTTCAAGGAGTTTACAGCTGAGTGGCAGAGCATTTAACACAGTCAGCAATATGCCACAAGCTTTCTCATTTCAAAGGCAGCTCCAATCTGGGCAATTAACCTTGCAAAGACAAATAAAATGAGTGCAATGGTCCTATGATATACATCAATCATTAAGAGGAAATGTTTGCTTCACAAATATTCTGCATAGGAATGATGTAAGTTTGTTGTACAATTACTTTGACTCAAGCATTCAATGTGTAACATGTCTAGGTACTTGGCCTGCCAACAAAAGTGTCACCCCAATCGCGCAATGATTAGAGGGGTATCTGTACCAATGTTAGATACATTGTACTGTAAAATTTCTGTTTGTTCAAATATTTGAGGTAGAATCATGAGTTCTGTTAAAGAACTGGAAAACTACGATGTCGTGTACATAGCCCCTAATAGAAGGGGAAGTGGATGGTCAAGTTGGAACAGATTTCAGTTCTTGTACAATTTACAAGTTTCAATTCTTTTTTTAAACCTGTCTCTAGATCACCAGTCTGTGTCGATTCTTGTACATGATGAAACCATCCTCTTTGTTAAAAACTATTGAGGAAACGGCTAAATCCAATTGGCAGGGAGACAGAAAAGAAGCTGCACTTACAGAACTTGATCAACAGGTAACGCTTCAACTTCTTTTAAACAATTTCACTGAGGTTTAAAGCTGTTTGTCTGCTTTTGGGTTAAGATTGGTTCAATGCCTTCATTTATCAGCAAATACACTACCTTCTGCAGGCACTCAAGTGCAATGCTCTAAGAACTTCAAATTTAGAAACTTTTTCCTTGCCCAAGTTGAGTTGCATTGAAACACCTATAAACCTGTGGTGTGAGTTTAGTGCTGCCCCAATATGCTTCCACAGAGCAAACTACTGCAGATACTGGGAATCCTTAGGGCTAGCACTATCCATGGAGAGTTGAAATTTCGGGTCTATGCGCAATCGTCAGGATCGAATATTTTACAAATTTAAGTGATTGTGGAAATATTTCTTGCACGCCATCTTTTCAATGACTTTAATTTGAGAACAGGCCATAAATCTTAAATGACATTTCCTGCAACTTAGCCATTTGGGAAAGTTTTAAATCTGTTTAACCTGGCATTTCTTATTCATTAGGGCCTTGTTTATTTTTTTTAAAAAAAGACATGTTGTAAACCACCATGGCATTGATTTTGAGCGCCAATTATGATGCTCAGTTCAGCAACAATTTCATATTTTCCTCCTAAATTGATTTATTGGTCTTCCATGCACACCAATATATCTTTAAATGCATTCTGATATTAACTTGTGAATGAGTTAAAAATAGATGATTTTTGCACAAAAATGGTTAATCAATACCACAGTGTGTTAAATGTACTTTGGTTTTCTGTGCAGTGAGGCCAATTGTGAATGAAATACAATGATTTGCAACTCTGACAAATCTTGACTTTGAAAAGGTTAGAATTTATTACCACGTTAAAGAATCCTACTGAAATTTACAGGCCGGTTATTGTCATTATTTACAATCAATTACACAACAGCTATAGATAAAGCTGTTCAGTCCTTCTTAACTTCATCTATCTCGTTAAATGGAGAGGTGCTGGTGTTGGACTGGTGTGGACCAAGTAAAAAGTCATGACACCAGATTATAGTCCAACAGGTTTATTTGAAATCACAAGCTTTCAGAGCGCAGCCCCTTTGCCAGGTGCAGTCTCCTCTTGAAAGACTTAGCAATACTCTCATAGCAACAATGAAATTGCAGTGTGTGTTAGAGTGGTTTTAAATTTGTTGATCTTTGGCTCCCCAACCCCTTCAGCAGCAAATAGTGTACTGTCGCTGTGACTTGATTATAGCAGACCATATGGTAATAAACAACAGGACTTTAGTGAATTAATTATCTATTCCATTAGCTTTGGGATCCAGTATATATCAGAAATCGCTGCTGGCTGCAGTGGTCCCATGTGAAATGGGTTTAGCTACTCTTAACTCTATTCCTGCTTGGCTTGAACATGGATTAGTTTCTCATCCAATTGCCAGTCTGATGCTTGCTGCGATTGCTTGGAGGGGAAGTGACAATGTCATACTAGCACAGAGACACCCTGTGGAATTGGGGATAAAACACCTTGGGTGGAGTAGAGGCATAAATACACCATGTGCTGATGCTCCTACTAATGATTTTGAATTGTTTGGTCTTCTCTCTTAGAGTCATAGACCTGTACAACACGGAAACAGACCCTTCAGTCCAACTGGTCCATGCTGACCAGATATCCTAGATTAATCTAGTCCCATTTGCCAGCATTTGGCCCATATCTCTCTATACCCTTCCTATTCATATACCCATCCAGATGCCTTTTAAATGTTGTAATTGTACCAGCCTCCACCACTTCCTCTGGCAGCTCCCTTTTAAATTTTTCCCCTCTCACCTTAAAACTATGCCCCTCTAGTTTTGGACTCTGCTATCCCAGGGAAAAGACCTTGGCCATTCACTCTATCCAGCCCCTCATGACTTTATAAACCTCTGCAAGGCTACCCCTCTGCCTCCAGGGAAAATAGCCCCAGCCTATTCAGCTTCTACTTATAGTTCAAACCTTTCAACCCTGGCAACATCGTTGTAAATCTTTTCTGAACCCTTTTAAGTTTCACAACATTCATCCTACAGCAGGGAGACCAGAATTGAACACAGTATTCCAAAAGTGGCCTGATCGATGTCCTGTACAGCCGCAATATGACCTTCAAACTCATATTCGATGCACTGACCAGGTTGGAAATCTGCAAATGATAATGGATATTTAACTTACCAGTATTGTTTAATTTATTTCATTAGGCCTATTACCTGTGCTACAATCTTCTAGTCTTAGCAAATGAAGTGCTGCACATAGAACACATTCCTCCCAGTGAACGGGTAAGTTTCTATTTCATATTTTTTAATGAAGGTGGGGTAGGAGGATTACACAGTTGGCTAAAGATGAATTTATTAGTCATGGCTTCACAGTTCAATTTCAAGATGGCAATCATTGACAAGTATCGACAGATTTTACTGAAGTTGCCTTGAATAAAATAGGTTATCTGGCCATTATTGCATTAATGTGCTCAAATTACATTTCTCCATCTAATCATGGGATGTAGACACCAATGGTAATGTCAGAAATTGTTAGTTGTTAAATGTTAATCGATTGAGTAACGGACTCTTTGTCGATTACTATAAAGAATGAGATAATGGAATTTTACACTATTGTGAAAAATTTGTAAAATTTGAATATGGTTAAACAGGCATTATGCTAGATTGTCTATACCAGAATGTGCCTTCGACAACAGACATGAGTAAGCTGGTTGATCTTTTATAGAATTGCACAACAGCTGGACTCTAGAACTTTGTTTTAGGGTTATAACTCAATTTGTAACAATTGAGAATATCTGCTCTGAAGGAGTAAAAGTAAAGTTGCATAGTCCCAGAGAGCCAGAGGGCATCTCTCTCAAAGAAAGACAACAGGTGGTGGTTTGACCTGCCGGTCACCACCCCCCAGGCAAGGAGAGAGTTTGAAAAGGAGGACATTTATGGTAACCTTAGATGGTACGCGAATTGAACCCATACTGTTGGCTTTATAACAACGGTAGAACTCCGTGTACACTTGGTACCAGTATTTCCATCCACACTTTGCAAGAGCAGTTATTGCAATTAATCAACATCGCTCAAACAGACTATCTGGCCATTAGAACATAGAACAAGACAGCACAGGAATGGGTCCTTTGGCCCACAATGTCATCCCAAACACGATGCTAAATTAAGCTAATCCCTTTTGTCTGCCCTTGGTTCATATCCCTCTGTTCCTTGCATATTCATGTGCTTACATAAAAGTCTCTTAAACACCCCTAACGTTTCTGTATCCTTCACCAGCCCTGGCAGCGCATTGCAGACTCCTACCACACGATGTTTAAAAAAAAGTTTTCCCTTCTCACCTTCTTTGAACTTTCTTCCTCTCACATTAAATACATGCCCCTCGAGTATTAGACGACCAGAATTGAATACAGTACTAAGTGTGGCCTAACCAATGTCTTATAAAGCTATAGCATGACATCCTGACTCTTGTACTCAATTCCTTGACCAGTAAAGGCAGGCATGCCATACATCTCCTTTACCCTATCCACTTGCATGGCCAATTTGAGGGAGATTGCATTAACATGCACAAATTGGATTTCTCTACCTAATCATGGGATGAAGGCACCATTGGCAGTGTCAGAAATTATTGTTAGTTGTTTATTTATTGTTAATCCTCAATTATTGTTGGCTGCTGCATTTTCTACAACAGAGGCTATACTTCAGAAGCACTTCTAGCTGTAAAGCACTTGAGGTTCTCCCCGCTATTGAAAGGTGCTGCATAATGCAAGTCTGTTTTTTAATTAGGAAAGTCAAAGTAAGTTGTATTTCTCCCATGTGTCAGTCAGGACAATGTTTCATTATAGCTTTTATGCTTTGTAGAGCATTTTCATATGAGTTTTTATTTTCCTTCAGAGTCACCTTATACAGCTCTGTGCTGAAATAGAAAAACACATTAAGTGTGACATAAGAGAGGACCCTAAACTACTTTACCGAAGCAAGGTACTCAACAAAGAACTTGAGCTGATTTATTTTAAAATTTCAAATGTCTTTTGTTTGCTGTGAAAATTACTTTTTCTTCATGTTCTCTTCACTTTGATGCTTCTTTAGGGACCTTCTACACCGAAGTTTAATTCTTGGTGCATATCTAGCATTCAAGACCATGTTTGGGGAAAGGAGTGAACCCTCAAACAAAATTAAGAATGATGGATACAGTTTCTTTTCTTTAGTTCACACAAATCGTTGGCCCACAGTTTTGCATTGCCCTGACCTGTGTGGGAACTCACTGTGCCATGTATGACCTTGGGTGGCTGTCAACTTTAGGAAGTTCTGTTTGTGGCAGATTTATGTAAAGGGAAGTTTACTAGTTAGTTGAGGTTTGAAGGATGGGGGCAGAATCTCTGCATCAATAGACAGAGGTCACATTTTGTTTCTTTGGAGTGCCTTACAATGTTTTACTGTTAAAGGTGCTATGTAAATGTAAATTGTAGTAAATGGAGGCTCTCACCAGGCATTTTTTTTAATTTGCTTTTATGTTCCTGCATCCTAGTGGGTAAACTAGTTAGTGTAATCGCAAAACTATCAATTGGCAATAAATAAACGATTGAACTGATCACAAGTGCTAAACCATGTGATTCTACAGTCGGCCAATCTTTCAATAATGTTTAACATTACTAGGCATTTATGCACAGCAGATATTTTAATCAGCCTGTTCAGATGTTATGAAACACCTCTGGAGCAGATCGGATTTAAACCTTGGCTCCTGGCTCAGGTAGGGACACTACCACAGCACCACAAGAACCATCTAGGAGGGATTTAATGTTTTAACGAAGATCTGTAGCTCGGGTTGTGGTTGCAGTTGGTGGTTGTTTCACCAACCAACAGCTCCAGTAAGAGAGAAAGAGAATCAACGCCAGCTTTTATTGTGGCATTTAGTGATCGGTGACCGAGTTCACCTGGCGCTTGGCAACGTGTGAATGTCTGACAAAACTGTTGAGAAGGTAATTAGCCTAAACTTATCCCATTAAGTGCCAGTCCACATTGTCAGTTCCCTCAGTTTGCCATGTTAGTATAATTGCACCTTGGAATGGTGTACTTGAAAGTGGCAGTGGGAATTAAATGCATGTTTTTCTATCTTAACCAATCAGCTGATTCTTTCTGTATAGGTGAAAGATTTAGAAGCAAGAACTCATGCGAAATGGCAGGAGTTGCTACAGCGCTCACGACCTCTTCAGGTAAAATGATGTAGGGAGAACTGACGAGATGATGCAGCTCTGGGGCAATTATAGAATGAAATCTCTCAATGCGGGCAGTTTTCTGCCTTGGACTAATGATACGGGTGATGTGGAGATGCTGGTGTTGGACCGTCATGGACAAAGTCAGAAGTCACATGACACCAGATTATAGTCAGGTGATAAAGGAGCAGTGCTCCGAAAGCTTGTGACTTCAAATAAACCTTTTGGACTATCACTTGGTTTCTTGAGACTAATGATATGGAGCAACAGAATCTGTTGCAGAAGTTGTTCACAGTTTGTTTACCTGTGAATTTAAACTGTAATGTCAGTCCCAAAAAGGCTGCAGGTTCCTGGTTATCATCACTTTCAAATTTCATTTGATTAGATTGAAGAATTAAAAAACTAACCAGCATTTTCTGAAGCTGGTGACCGATTTGACGTGAAGTGTGTGCCTGCTGAACAAAACAGTCGATGTTCAAATCCTAGGCTGCTGAGATAGCTGAAGTCCACTTGTGGTAATTGGCCTTCACTACTTTGAGTGAGATGATAAGTGATCCAGTGTTACTAATGTCTAATTACGATGTGCTAAGACCTGCCAATAAACAATGTGGGTTTGGAAGGTTAGAACTGCATCAGTTTGGTGAAATACCAATGATACAAGGAGACTCAATTTATTTGGGATCCCAAGGTGTATTGTCACCCTGAATTTTACACTAGGGAGAAGCTGGTGTCCTTGCACGAGGTATTGAACTAATTAGGAGATAGGATGAGGTTCTGTAGCTCTGTACACATGTGCACACCTATTTTCTTGAGCTGTCTTTACTGTTTCCGTGTTGTCCATTTCAGGATCAGCCCTTCTCCACTCTTATCTATTCTATCATAGCCAGAGTATTTCTAGCATTGTTTTTCTACTTAACTCCCTCCATCCCATGACCAGTAGCACACTCAATTCTGTAGTTTGCCCAAGGATCCATCCTTGATCTCCTTCCATTCTTCTCAGTTCCCTCTTAGCAACAGCTTCGTAGATACGGGGCCACAGTTTTCCTGTATGTAATCAACTTCTACCTTTTTTTAATCAGACTTTTAGTCACCTGCTTGTTCCAATAAAATTCACAATTCTCTGCCCTACCACTAGTTTTTGCCACTTTGTATGCCTTTGTTTTTGATTGAATACTCTCTATGACTGCCTTTGTTAAGCACGAGTGATTTGTCCTTCTCACAGAGTCATTTTTAAGGAATTTATTTTTCCTGAGCACTGTGAAATATCTGCCTACATGTCTACCACCGCTTATCTATTGACCTTCCCCTTAGTCTATTCACTTGATCTGCTTTAGACAACTTTCTTCTTAATTCTGTAATTGTCTTTTATTTAAGTTGAGGACACTGGTTTGAGACCTGCGTTGCTCTCGCCCACAGGAAAAAGACAATGTAGTCGAGGAGAATACTGAGATACAGGCTATTAGACTAGACGGGATTGAGGTTCATAAGGAGGAGGTGTTAGCAATTCTGGAAGGTGTGAAAATA